TCCCAAAAAAAAAAAAAAAAAATGCTGTTTTCATTGATTCACATCTTTGTTGCCTTTATATTGTTTATTCATCCAAGTAAACACATTAGCTTTGAATCACAGCCTTGATTCCTCTTCCTGTTCAGCATATTTCTAGTCAAATTCCATGTGCGCAGAGACTACAGAGTACTGTTGGCTAGTACAGCATTTAAGATGTAGTTATGAGATAAATCAGTGCCAGTGAAAAGATACAAAACATTTCAAAAGATAAAAGGATTTCTAGATTATTTGCAAATGTGTGTTAAGAAATGAATATATTTTTAATGTGTATTTTAAAGAAGTTCTCTCAATCTTTTTTGTTTTACACTAATACAAAATTGATACTTACAGACTACATCATAGGATGTTTCATGGTCAGTAGTTACAAATCTTGTAGTAACTTATAAATAAGTGCCTTTTTTTACCTGAAGATTTTGTGTCATTAACGATTTTCCTATTGATACTGTTTATTTTGTTGACATTGATCCACTATTGTTAACTAAAAACAACTCTGTGGGCATATTCATTAATGTTGGGATTCTAATAGGTACTTTACAAAGTAAATACATTTACTAAGAGATGTATATTTGTATATATCCGTGCACATATATGTATGTACATATGTGTGTATATACAAGCATATGTGTGTAGGTATGGCTCCACGTATATATGTGGTTCCAAATTGCTATGTAGTATTGAAAACTAAGATGTAAGAGACAACATGACTTTTCTGGAGAATTACAAACTTTTTAGTATGAATTATTTGGTCAGTTTTGAGTTTTAGACATTACAAATTTTATAAAATATTAGATATTATAAAATAACAATGAAGAAAATAGCGTGTCATTATATAATTGGACTAAAGATGCTTAAACTTTGGATTCATTGAATCTGAGTGAGTTTCTAAGTAAATTGTGTCCCTTCTATATTCACTGGGAACAAACGGAGAGAAAAAGATTTTTATACAGTTGTTGGGAGTTACTAGTTACTCCACTGTGGACAAGTTTATCTAGCACTCATGTAAAAAAAGCAATTACTTGGGATTACTCTTCAACTCTGGGGAGCTCAAGGAAGCATCTCACCAGATACTCGGCCCCAACTTGACTTAACTAAAGCCACGTAATTTTATAGACAACATTCCCACCTAATCTTTTTAGGAAGTACTAAGAATATGTTTGCTATAAACCCAGAATTTATACCTATTTTGTCCCTTATTTGTCCCACCTTCAGCCTTTTAATTCCATTTTAATCTTTCTCTTGCTACAAACACTCCAGCTGACAAGAGATAAATGTGGAAACTAATTCTAGCTGACTGAAAAACAGCTTAAATATATTCTTACCTCAGTTTCATTTCAAAGAATAATAACAAAACGTGGAAACCACCCACAGATTTGTCCTAAAATATCTTTCGTTTTACATTTTGACTGTTTATCCAATCATCATCATTTTTGTAACTGAAGAGAGGGAAAGTTCTAATGTTTTGTCCATTCTTACTGTTCTTCGAAAAATGTCAGCCATACTGAGTTAGACATTAAGTAAATAGTAGTAGAATTTGTATTTTTGCTTTTACCTACTTTAAACAAAGGCATATAATATATAGTATATATATTTTTAATTATTACTATGTTACATTAGTCACCGTACAGTACATCATTAGTTTTTGATGTAGTGTTCCATGATTCATTGTTTGCATGTATCACCCAGTACTCCATGCAACAGGTGCCCTCCTTAATAGCAGTCTCTGGGCTAACCTATCATCCCTCCATCCCTCTCCCCCCTAAAACCCTTAGTTTGTTTCTCAGAGTTCATAGTCTCTCATGGTTCATCTTCCCCTATATACTCTTTTCTTTAGTCATCAGAGGGAGATCTTTTTTTATTTTACCAAAAGTTCTTGTCATGAAGTCATACTCCTCTGTGCTGGAACTTTAGGGTTTTGTCCAAAAGAGGGCCTTTGAAAAAATAATAATTTGTATGTTCTTCATTTTTCAATCTCATCCACCAGTTTTACACAAATTTTGTAGGAATTCTATTAGTAAATTTCATCTTTTCTCATGTAAATTACTGGTTTTCCAAACTGATTGGAAAGTTGTTTTTATATTTTTAACAAATGGACATAATAAAGCCTATTTATGTTTTTTATAGGAATATATGTTATAAAGTCCTCTTTGTAAGTTTTAAGTGCCTACACATGAGAATTTTTTATAGGTAACACATCATTTTCAGCACAAAATTAGAGATAAAAACGTTTTCAAAAATGCTCTCCCTAGCACAAGTTTCTTTCAAAAATTAGTTTCTTCCCTACCTTTATTTTAAAGTTCTACATAGAGAATTTTTGTTCTTTCTTCTTTCTTTCTTTCTTTCTTTGCTAAGCAATATGCTTTGGACAGGCAGCCACTTTTCACTCCAAGAAGAATCCACAATTTTTTGGAATGTCTGAATTATTTCACTTTCTTTTAAAACGTCATAATGCCTTTAAGTTCAAGGTAGCTAAATTCATTAATTCCACCCAACTGGGCCCATAAGCCTGTGTTGTATAGTAATAAGCTGAACATGAATAAACATGTGATGGTGCCACTTGTAACCCCTTTTGTTTACTTACCTCCCACTCTTTCCTTAGGGCTCCCAGGTTGCTATTAGTGACATGACTTGACTTGCTAATGGAGAGATCACATGAAGATACTAATGTCAATTTATATGTTAAATATTATCTAAGTTTAATGTAATTCTAATTTTTTAGGTAAATATTTTAAGTAAATGCCTTGTGAAATGCTTGTTTTACCTGAGAGGATTATTTTGCACCAGCTAGTTTGGAGCTTTTTCATCTGTATGTAGGGCAGGAAAAATTCTTTGTTGTATCTTTGACCTACTTGGACAACTTCAAGTAAATAAGACATATTCTCACCTGTTTTCTCTTGTAAATGCTTTCTTTTCGTTTCTTTGGTTTATAGTTTCTGTTCAGATTACTATTATAGGCTTCATTAATTTTTTTTCTTCTTACATTGTCACCTTGCAGACTCTTCCCTTGAAATAGAAGTGTTGGTCCTTGAACAACATGAGGATTGGGACATACTTTTTTTTGTATGTCTTGATATTTCCTACTTAAAAACTGTCATTTGAAACTAATAATTTAGTAGCTCTGGAAGTCACATTTTCCCATTCTGCAGGGTTTGTTGCTTTTTTGTCTTGGTTTATTATTTTACTTTTTTAATTGTTGTAGTCTGTCTCTATGCCAAAGATCAGCCTGAGGTATAAAATTAAAGTCTCTCGGGTGTATGTGAGCCTGTACCTTCCCCTGGGCGTGCATCATGACTTTTTAATTCTCCTCATTTTATGCAATTTCTTTTGAATATCCTAATCTGTAATCTCTGGCTCCCAAAAAGAGGAAGAGTAATGGCACCTAGGTGGCTCAGTCGGTTAATTGGCAGACTCTTAGGCTCAGGTAATGATCTCAGGGCTGTGAGATCAAGCCCCATGTAGGATTCAGCACTGGACTCAGTGCTCTGTGTGGAACCTTCATAAGATTCTTTCTCCCTCTGACATCTTCACCCCCCGACCTCCTCACCCCTACTCCTCCACGCCCAAAAGCACATTATCTCAAAAAAAAGAAAAAAGAAAAGAAAAGGAACAAAAAAATGAAGAGTAAATGAAGGGAGGGAAAAGGGGCATTGGCCTTTTAAATCCCATGAAAGTTATGTCTCAGGAGGAAGAGGGACTTCAACAGTAAGAGGAAATGGACTCATAGCAGCAATGGCCACAGTCACCAAACTGTGGAAAGAACCAAGATGCCCTTCAATGGACGAATGGATAAGGAAGATGTGGTCTATATACACTATGGAGTATTAGGCCTCTATAGGAAAGGATGAATACCCAGCTTTTGTAGCAACATGGACGGGACTGGAAGAGATTATGCTGAGTGAAATAAGTCAAGCAGAGAAAGTCAGTTATCATATGGTTTCACTTATTTGTGGAGCATAACAAATAACATGGAGGACATGGGGAGATGGAGAGGAGAAGGGAGCTGAGGGAAATTGGAAGGGGAGGTGAACCATGAGAGACTATGGACCCTGAAAAACAACCTGAGGGTTTTGAAGGGGTGGGGGGTGGGGGGTTGGGGGAACCAGGTGGTGGATATTGGGGAGGGCACGTATTGCATGGAGCACTGGGTGTGGTGCAAAAACAATGAATACTGTTATGCTGAAAAGAAATAAAAAAAAAAAAAAACACTCAAAAAAAAAAAAAAAAAAAGGAAATGGACTAACAATGGCAACCTGTCTGTTAATGTTTCTCTGAGATAAGAAGCCACAATCAGCACAAATCCTTGACATTTGGATCCTGTAGGATCTCTTTTACCCATTCTGTCACCACAAGCTATGTGCAAGATCCTCCAGTAACAGGTTGATAGCTGCCTCCCTTTGGACATGGTAGTGGGGGATGGGTGCTGCTACTGAGCAAAGAGCTGAAAAAACCAAAATTAATGGCAGTTTGCTTTCCAAGCCTTCCTCTGGATATTACAAACCTTAAAGAGATTCTAGAGTTCCGAAATAGTTATATCACATTCTGTCCTGTACAATTGCTTTCTAGTGGCTATAGATTCATGGTGCTTCCTACTTTCCATAATCCATCTTCCCATAATCCCTCTAGGACATTTCTTTTTTAATTATTTGTTTGTTTTACTAGATATTGCAAGGACAGGGATTATCTGATTTCCTTTTGCTCAGTGATTCTTATCCACACGACTCCTTACCAACTTTCCAAAGTTCATATGATAAACATGTATTGCTTTCTAATGTTAAAAAAAGTTTATTATTTTAAAAATACAGATGTTTATTAACATAAATTGTACAGGTACACATTTGGATTGCTAGTCTTGAACATCTGGGATACTGACAGTTTTCTTTCAGAATGAATGCATTCATCTGGTATTTTTATTCCCTTGAAGAAAAGTCCAGTGATAATTTTGATGGCTCCTTTGGCATTTACAGGGTGTTTTGGTGTTTTTTCACACCACTTCAGACTAACAGAACACTGCATTGGGTATCACTAAAGGCAACACCTGCTGCTTATATGTAAGTTGTGTGATCTTGGCAGGTTTTTTAAAAATCTCTGCTAATTTCTACTCTTATAAAAAGTAGCCTCTGTGTTCTTTAAAGCCCTTTTCTTTACTAAATCCGTGAGTTTATCCCTTGTTTTATACTTCTACTGCCTTTTCTATTTATATCTTTTCTTTCTTATATCCTTTCTTTTATATTCATATATCTTATTTCCAGCCAGACTTTAAGCTTTTGATGATAGAAACCAACTTTAATATTCATCTTTCCCATAGTGGTTTTCCCAAGGCCTTGTAATGAATACTGATTCACTAAATAGTTTGTTTAGTTGGGCATCTGGGTGGCTTAGTTGGTTAAGGGACTACCTTCAGCTCAGGTCATGATCCAGGAGTCCTGGGATCGAGTGCCGCATCAGGCTCTTTGCTCAGCAGGGAGTTTGCTTCTCCCTTTGACCCTCCCCATCTCCTGCTCATGCTCTCTCTCTCTCTCTCTCTCAAATAAATAAAAATCTTTTAAAAAATAATAATTTGTTTAATTGAGTTGATTGAGAATCTTTGTTATCAGCTTTGTGCTCCTTGGTTTTCTCACTATCATACAAGGAGGCATTTCTACATTTATTTTATATAAATAAATATTTAATCTTTTTATAGATTGCATTTATCTTCTCTTTTATTTGTAATGTCATTCCTAGTAACAATTAGTGTATAATGTGCTGAAACTATTCCTTTAAAAACAATGTCTGGAAATTGAAGCCATAAACTCATTTATATGACACACACAGACACACACATATATATGTCATCCATACACATAGACGTGTGGAAATTCACACATATACACATGGAAATTGGAAAATATTCCAAATATATGTTGTATATCTGTCATTAATTTATTGGGCCAAGTTAGTCATGAGATATTATCACCATATAATATCACCAAAAAATTTATATCTAGTTTACACAGCTGACAAGTTGAGTGCCTAAAATTTGTGGCATGAAATGACAAATGATTTAAAACAACAGTATTATTTTGGTGAAGCTCTATGTTTTTTACTTTAAAATAATTATTAATTCAATAATTTATTGAGCAGTTTATTCTCAGGCGTAGGAGGTGGTTATCCAAAGCAAGTATCAGGGTGCCTGGTTGGCTCATTTGGTTAAGTGTCTGCCTTCAGCCCAGGTCATGATCCCAGGGTCTTGCTTCTCCCTCTCCCTCTGGCCCCCTAGTCATGCTTGCCTGTGCTCTCTCTATTTCTGTAGTGCTTTCTCTCACAAATAAGTAAAAATCTTAAAAAAAAAAAAAAAAACACAAAGCCAGTGTCATAATCTCTGCCTTTGTAAGATTTGATAATTCTAGATTCTTTAGGACAGTGATATTCAAAATCGGGTTTTATCTTATAATGTAGATGTTGTCTGCTGTTGCTAATCAGCTAGCTGAGAGATACTTTGTCAATAGTCTAGACTTAAAACAGTACCTGACTTTTTGTTCAGGTTAGTGGTATATATGTACATATATACACACACATACCACTATACATTATACAGGTGTGTGTGTGTGTGTGTGTGTGTATAATATATATGTATACATTATATGTGTGTATGTGTATAGATATAGATATATAAAATGGAATATTACTCAGCCACAAAAAGAACGAGATCTTGTTATTTGCCACAACATATATAGACCTAGAGGGCTTTATAGTAAGTGAAATCCAAGAAAGAAAAATACCAAATGGTTTCACTTATATGTAGAATCAAAAACAAAACAAATGAATAAAAACAACAACAACAAAGAGAAACAGACCAAGAAATACAGAAAAACTGATGGTTGCCACAAGGAAAGGGTGTGGGAAGATGGACAAAATGGGTGAAGGGGAGTAGAAGGTATAGACTTCCAGTTGCGGAATGTGTAAGTCACAGAGGAGAAAGGTACAGCATAGAGAGTATAGTCAGTGGTATGGTAATAGTGTATGGTGACAGGTGGTAGCTACACTTGTGAGCAGAGCATAGTGTATAAACTTATTAAATCACTATGTTTTACACTTGGAACTAATGTAATATAATGTACCAACCATAGTTCAATTAAAAAAAAAATCTGATTTGGGGGGCTGTCCCTAGGAGTCTATTCACGGTGATTGTCCCTGGATGGTTTGGTGTTTTGTTAGTCTGAAAGACAGTGATTATAACCAGCCTAAGGTGAAGAGGTTAAGTTGGCTGTACATACCATATAGATTTTTGTTTACCATCCCTAGAGTGGGGAAACACTTGACACCTGGTTGGATATTGAGCTCTATTTGGAAATACATTATTTGTGTCATTTGTTTCTTTTCTAGTTATTTTTTTTACAATTTAAGAGATTTTTCTAAATAATCGCTTTTATTGTTAGCTAGAGTTAGTTTAAAATATATGATATAGGCACATCTAGGTGCCTCAGTGGGTTAAGTGTCTGCCTTTGGCTCAGGTCATGATCCCAGGGTCCTGGGATTGAGCCCCATGTGGGGCTCTCTGCTCAGCCGGGGCTCTGCCTCTCACTCTCACTCTCCTCTGTGCTTGCTCTCTCTTTTGTCTCTCTCTCAAATAAATTAAAAAATAAAATATATAATGTAGAGACAATGAAGAATATAGATAGAGGTTCTGAGTGAGGTTTGGAGTTAGGAAGTCACTATGAGAAAACAGGAGCTCTAAGTGGTTGAAATCTCAGGAGCAGTAAAGGACATGCTTCATAAAATTTAGGAATTAATCAACATGTAGTTTTTAGAAAGCATAGAAATGGGTAATTATTGTGCTAAATAAGCCACCTCATTTGGTAAGTGAAAACTGAATGTACACATGATTGTGTCTTAAATTCATTCATTTAGTTATCCTGCTTTGGTTAACATCTTCTTAAGAAGCCTAAAATTCCAAATATAAGTATGCTAAGTAGTGGTCAATGAATATATTTTAGTATTTCACCTTTTAACATTTTTTCTTCAATTATAAGAATGTGAGTTGTAGAATTCATTGAAAATGTATGAGCAGGCAGCTTCATGTGCCATATATCTATAATTCCTGTCATTTTTGTCTTTTGCAACACAGAAACAAATTTTCAATGGCCAGTACCTTTCTGCTTTACAATTTGGAAGTACTCTAGAATTGATGTAGTGAGACTCTTCCCACCCTATATATGTATCTACCTTTATGTGTGTCTCGTAACTCAACAGAATGACCTAAAGCAGAAAAGTCAGAACCGTATTGCGACTCATTTGAGCCAGTAGTGTAGAACTGTGGTTCCTGAGACCTGGAAGTACAGCAGGTCAATCAGAGAACATTCTGTAGATCCCAGATTTATGACTAAGACACAGAAGTAATATTTTAGAAGAATTTTCCCAGGCGATTATGATATTTGGGAAACTTACATTGAGTAAAGCAAATAATCAGTTTCTTTGTGTGTGTTTCTAATTATAGTTTAATGTTACCCTCGTGTCCAAAATTTCATCAATGCCAGCAGATTTTCCTTTTCCTTTTCAAATAAAAAGTTTAGCGATTTGTGAGCTTGTACTCTTTATGAGGAAGAATGCTTTCATTGGGCCTACCATGTTTCATTGGATGTACCACATTAAAGATATGTCACTGGATGCAGTGGGTTGTAAGAAATTATACAGCAGAATCTCCTCATAGGTGAATTGAAATCTAACTGCCCTAAGTTTGACTCCACTGTACTACATAGTTCTGAAGAATGTTAACAGTGTAATTAGAGAGGAGAATAATGATTAACATTTAGATTATTTTTTATTTTTTATTTTTTTTAAAGATTTTATTTATTTATTTGACAGGGAGAGATCACAAGTAGGCAGAGAGGCAGGCAGAGAGAGAAGGGGAAGCAGGCTTCCTGCTGAGCAGAAAGCCCAATGTGGGGCTTGTTCCCAGGACCTTGGGACCATGACCCGAGCTGAAGGCAGAGGCCTTAACCCACTGAGCCACCCAGGTGCCCCGAGCCAGCTGATTTTTAAAGTCCCAGGGAGACACTTAATCAACTGAGCCACCCAAGCCTGTGCATTTTGTTTTTTTACTTTAAAATTTTTAAGGGGCACCTTATTCAGGTTTTATAAAAAGAACTCTTTTGTCATTTACCAGGAACTCTATAGGCATGTTTTATGACACAAATCCAGTTTTTTTCCAACTCTGCATATTAGAGTAATAATTTATAGCAGAAGGAGTTTCTACACCTTTAAATTCAGGTCTGTTGACCTGGGATTTATTATTTTTTTAAATGTGCGTTCATCATTTTGCTCATGTCTTTCTAAATACTACTTGTTCTTTACCACTGACCACCCACTTGGCATCACAGTAACTGACACAGCTTGTCCAACAATGCCATGCCATTAGTGCTTTTTTCATCTTATGATTGGAATTGGGAGACCATAATCTTCAGTAAGCACCATTATTTAGCTGGCTTTAACAGAGCAAATGTTTGTCCTCATCTTCTGAATCAAGCGCATCTTTTTTGTTCTTTTTATATTAGGCATCTTTCATGTGATTTGACACCACTTTGAGATAACTATTTTCTAAAGTTGGTAACTATTTTAGGTACTAATTTTTGCTTTTCCTTAGTTTTTTTTTAAGTCTAGGGATTTTAATTATTCCCAAGAAATATTGATGAATCAAAATCTGTTCGTAAAAACATTGTTTTCTGTGCTGTTAAAACACATATATCAAAACAATTTAATAATTCTTTGCAGGAAAGAAGATTTTTGTGTGTGTGTGTGTGTGTGTTGTTTTTGATCAGGGGATGACATATAAATATAAAACACCCAGGCTAGTGTTTGTTTCTTTATTTCACTCTTTTGTTTTAAAAGTTTTTTAGAGTGATTCTTTTTATTTTATTTATTTATTTATTTATTTTTAAGATTTTTATTTTTATTTTTATTTTTTTTTTTTGACAGATCACAAGTAGGCAGAGAGGCAGGCAGAGAGAGAGGAGGAGGAGGAGGCAGGCTCTCTGCTGAGCAGAGAGCCCGATGCGGGACTCGATCCCAGGACGCTGAGATCATGACCTGAGCCGAAGGCAGAGGCTTTAACCACTGAGCCACCCAGACGCTCCTTTTTAGAGTTTTTTTTAAACGATTTTATTTATTTCTTAAGGTGAAAGAACACAAGCAGGGGGAGCAGCAGAGAGAGGAGAAGCGGCTCCTCGCTGAGCAGGGAGCCCCATGTGAGGCTCTATCCCAGGACTCCCGGATCATGACCTGAGCCGAAGGCAGACAGTTAAACGACTGATCCACCTAGGCGCCCCGTTTAAGGAGTTTATATGACTATCCTCTGAAGGCTCTCTGAATTATCAGATGATAGGACAAAACCTTTATTACTTTTCAGTAACTGGAGAAAGAAAAACTTTTCTGACTTTTTAATTCCGCTTGTGGCTTATGCTCTGTGATGTTTTCTAATAGGTAGCCTTTTAGCTTATTTTATTTACCATAATGAAAGTCCTTTGGCTTCATGGTATCTTTCCTGTGCCACATTCTCCTTTTTCGGTGATCCTTACATATTGTTTACCTCAGTATAATCCTTAGATACTGTTTACCTTTAGGCTTAGCTTGGATTGAAGAGATGGTATCTATACCAATGGATTTCTTTATCTTCTGTGGTATTTTAACAGTTTTATGAGGTTTGGTGTGGAATGTAAAGTAATTGACAATTTTCTCAGTAGCTGGTGAAGTATGGTTCTGGGACTGGGAGTAGGAGCATCATCTGGGAATTTATCAGAAATGCAAATTATCAATTGCTACCTTAAACCTATTAAATCAGAAACTCTGGGTATGTTGCCAAGCAATCATCATCTCTTCCAGGTGTTGAATTCTTACCATTAGTAACTTGAGATCTTTGAGATCCATGTAACTGTAGATTGATCTACCCGTCATTTCTTTTTATTACCAATATTCAAAACTATTTTTTTATATTGATGAGAACTCAGTGAATGTATACCATTGAAGTATTCTTTCATAATTCTGAAGTACTTCAGTTGAATTTACACTTGGTATTTATTGCATTGACAAAGAAGTAACTGACAAGGAAATCATTTAGAACAAGAATCTGTGCTTTTGCTACCCCCACTTCCCCATCTTCTCTTGGTTCTTCTCTCCAGTGTAATGTGATAAAGGGTGCTGCTGTGCGTGGGATTTGACAGCATTGCATATCAGGTAAACCATTTAATTTAACCCCCACAATACCCATGAATTAGTTAATAGTTTTATCTCAAATTTTGCGGAGAAGAAAACTGGAGCTTAGGAAAGTTAATTTGTGAAGGTCACTCCACAGAACAAGAACCCAAATCTGGGCTCTGCTGATAACAAAGCTCTTAAATATAGTAGTACCATCAGTCTCATTTCTCTAGTTGCGCTTTTCCTTACTCTTTAAGAATTTGCATTTATCTTAAACTTGATATACAGTTTTTTTTTTTTCTGGGCTTTTTACAATCCTGATTTGAATTTTTTTTTTTTTTTTTAATTTCATCACTTGTGACTTTCTAAGAAAAACTAAAACTTTCTAGAAAAATTTTGGTGTCTTCATCTTCACTTCCTTTGCTTTTACTTTTTCTCGGGTTTAATTTAAAAAAAGGAAAACCTTTTCATATATTCAGTTAAAGATTTAGAGTCTCTATTGCCAGCTTTTTCAGACATGCTAAAATGCCTCTAGTAATTTCAAGTTTGAAGTAAGTAGGGAGACTATTCCAATCGTGGCAGAATTATCTTAGAAGTGTAGATATTGACTAGTAATTTTAATATTATTTGAAATATTCCTCTTAAACCCCGTGTCTTAATTGGAGGCAGCAAATAAAAGATGAAATATACTACCCTAATTCCAGAAAGGAGAATATGTTACTAATCATTTTTTAATGTGTTGGTAGCAAGCTGTCAATCAGTTATAAAATGATAAATACTTGATGCTCTTTGTCTAACAGTAATTGGCTTTTTGTGAGTTCAGATGTTGATTTATAGACCTTTTTTCACAGTTAGGGTATTTTAAGCCACAGTGAGGATATCATTTCATGTTGTTAAAAGGCTCCCCCCTCGCTACATGCAACTTTTATTTAAGGGGAGAAATAATTAAAAAAGAATAAAGTAAAAAATGGTTAATGTAAAGATTCTCAAAGTGGCTTGCATAGACATTAGGCTCCTAGAAGGTGCCCAAAGGCAGCTGAGAAGACTGCTTTTCTCCTAAGAAAAAATATTCTTAAAGAATAAAGCAGTTGAATACTCTGTTCTTGAGTTCCAATTTCGGATCTTGGAACCAGAAGCCCTTTGAACTTTGGGCCCTGGTTACATGGCTTATACAGTTAGTGGGAGACAGATTTGCTTGCTCTCAATCTGTCAAAGCCTTGCTCAGATGCTATCCTGTTAGCATTTCCAGAGAAGAATAAAACAGCATTCCAAGGGTTGACATCTAATTGTCAGTATGTAAAATTAATAAATGTGAGTTAATGAGTTATTAAATGAGTTAAATACAAAGTATGTGTAATAGTTCCTTTATAAGCTAACAGTGCTTAAGTTCTTACTACCCGACTAGTAAAGATTGCTATTGGAAATCAGTGCTAAGAAAATTAGATCTTGGGGTGCCTGGGTGGCTTGGTCAGTTAAGTGGCTGCCTTCACTCAGGTCATGATCCCAAGGTCCTGGGATCCAGCCCCGCATCCATGCTCGGGGCAGGGGGGGGGTGCTGCTTCTCCCTCTCTCTCTGCCTGCTGCTATGCCTACTTGTGCTGTCTATTTCTCTGTTAAATAAATAAATAAAATCTTAAAGAAGAAAGAAAGGAAAATTAGATCTTTTAGCCAAATGTATTTATCTGTGACTATATTGCCATAAAGAATTTTACAAATTTTTCTTTATTTTATTAGTATATATATTTTCCATTCACATTATCACTGCCAATTTTGTTTTGGATATTGTGCTAAAATGCTTGGAATTTTAATGGTTTGGGGATATTGGTAGTTAAGTGGACAGTCTTTTTAATATAATTTGATTATGGATGAAGGGAAATAAAGCAATTATGGAAGTTCATGGAAGAGGCATTACCTACCCTTTAATGACGGTGTATGTATGATGAGTAGAGCAAGAAAGCCAAGGCTTTCTGGAAGGTTATGATCCTGTGGGATGGATGGAGAGGGAAACATTCTGTATAAAGGAAGCGTATAGTTTTAAGGAAAGAAAAATAGTTAAGGAAGGGAATGTGAATAGTAGATTGAAGCGAAAGGTAGGAGTTAGTTGTCTGTAAGAGCCATATACCATGTGGTATGGGAATGTCAAATAAGCCAAACTTAGAGAACTGTTTAGATTTTTTTCAGTTTTATTGAGAAATGATTTACATACAGCACAACAGTTTGATTTATGTATATTGTGAAATGATTACCACAAGAGATTGAGGTGAGTTTTTGAAGTTGGAGAAATCGGAATTTTCGTGTTTTAAAAGTTGTGTTTATTTTGATTCTGTAATACTAAATTCTTAATCTCTTCAAGCCTGTAATGTTTTATATTCATGCTTTTTTTTTTTAAGGATTTCAGTTTGTTAAAATGAGCAGTCGTAAATCAAAGAGTAACAACTTAATACATGCAGAGTACCTTTCACAGGTTAGTATATATTTTCATTAACCTCAAAGTCTATTATCAGTCAAAACTGATCAGAGAAATAATTATCTTCTTAATTTGAATTCTTTCCTTAACACTTACGAAACACTTTACATTTTCAAGGAGAGACTCTTCACTACTTTCATACTTTTTAAGGCTTTAGACAGTTGGAATCCTAACTTTACTCCTGTCTTCCCAAATGTGTCATAATTTCAGTTTACTTCAGAGTTCTCTACTTCTTTTGTTAAATTTATTCCTATTTTATTTCTTGTGATTATTGTGTTATAAATGGAATTGTTTTAACTTTTTTATTTGTTCATTGCTAGCATATCTAAATGCAGTTGATTTTTATATATTAATCTGTATCCTGCAATGTGACCAGACTTACTAGTTCTTACAGTTTTTATTTTTTTATATAAGATCATGTCATCGGCAAACATATTTTAACTTTCTTTTCAGTATAGTGACTTTATTATTTTTGTTTTAATTGTCTAATTGCCCTGGCTGGAACTTTCAGTACAATATTGAGTAACAACTGAAAAACAGACATTCTTGTTTTGTTTTTGATTTTGGGGAAACACATTCAGTGTTTTATCGTTGAAGTGATGTTAGATACAGGTTTTTATAGATGCCCTTTATTGGGGTGAGGATGTGTTGCCCTTTTTTCCTAGTATGTTGAGTGTTTTTATCACGAACATTTAATATTAAGTGCATACAGTATTCGAAGTGCTAAGCATATATCTATGTGTCTGTGTCTTAAGATAGGGAATGGGTATAATAACTCTGTCCTGGTATTTCTATTTATCTTGATTGACCAGAACTATAGTTTTTTTAAATCAAAACTAAATGTATGTTATTGGCATCCCTTCATCCCTTACCTTTTTTTTTTCTTTCTGGAAGGAAAAGGTTTAACTCTGTTTCATGAAAGAATTTTAGCTTAAGTATGATTTACATATCCTAGTAAAGTAAGTATCTTCCACATACAGCTTAATTTCTGTATACACATATATGTGTTTAACCTTCATCTCAGATCACTTTGAGATTTTTTGAACCGTTCACTGTTCACTACAGCTTCACTTCACTTTATCTCTTAGATTTTATACATAGTTGTTGCCTCTAATAGACAAGTTGAAGTTTGAAAAAGAAAAGGATATTTATATTTGATTTCTAATGATCTTATCTAGGTAGAGAAATACACCATATAATTAGTATTATGATTATATATGCTCATTTAAGTGTTTTATATGTATTAGCTATTACCTATACAAATACTTAAGTTATGTTAAAGACGACTACCTTATTTAATCTTGAGAATAGGCCTGCCAGAAAACTATTATTGTCTCTATTTTATAAATGAAAAAAATTAAGATTAGGAAAGGCTAACTTTAAGATCCACATAATTGGTTCTTCTGGCATCACTCCTCTTAATTCTTTCCCCTTCTTATATAATAATTTGCTTTGAATAATTTGCTCTGAATAATTTGCTTTGCTTAGCCTCTGGTACGTATAAACAGAACTCAGATTCTACCTTTTTGGTACATGAAGAATCAGTCCCATGCTGTCAGTCTGAGAAAAGCAAATTATCTTGGAAGCTTCTTGTTTCCAATGGTGGGACCAAATCTCAAATAGCTTCCTAAGGTTTTTGTCTTTGAAAGGTTTCTGTATTAGCAGCAGATGCAGAAAAGGAAATGCCTTTAATGGTCTGTCTTTTAAAAAATGTGCTAGATTATCTGACATAATATTTTACAACTCAGTCTAAGCCCTTTATTCTAAGGCAAACTCAAAATTTATAAGAATTTTTTTTCTTGGGGCACCCGGGTGGCTCAGTGGGTTAAGCCTCTGCCTTCAGCTCAGATCATGATCTCAGGGTCCTGGGATCAAGCCCCACATCAGGCTCTCTGCTCAGCAGGGAGCCTGCTTCCTCCTCTCTCTCTCTGTCTCTGCCTGCCTCTCTGTCTACTTGTGACCTCTGTCTGTCAAATAAATAAATAAAATCTTTAAAAAAAAAAAAAGAATCACCTATTTAAAAAAAATGTTTTTTTCTTAATTCATTCCAGTGATTCCTCATCTTATAGATGAATCTAATTTCTTCCATGTAGTTGATCAATTCCTTATATGCTAAATTACTTTATTCAGTGTGTCATTTCTTTCCAATTTATTTGCACTATTTCTTTAGGCATGGATCATACTTTTTTAGGAGTATCTTACTCTGCTTCTAGTAGGTCCTCAGTAACTATGTGAACTTTTAAACTTTTATTTTCTCAGAATCCTGACTTTTATGATAGGTGCAGATAGATAGGGCTTGGGCTAAGCCAGTTTAGATTTGTCTGGTCTCTAGAGATTGAGGTATGGTTCATGAGCATTATTAGGTGAGATTACATTATTACATTATCTCCTTTTTTCCTTGGCTGATATGTACCATATAAAGTGAAGTGTTCATTTATTCACACGCAATGTAAAACAACCCTCAAATTGCTGACGTGGCTAAAGTAATTCATTCTTTCTGTTGAACCTCACAAGTAAATTCTCATCCTTCCTCTGGGACTTGAGATAGGTTGAAAGAACCGTTAGTTTTACAACTCATGAAAGTAGTACCAGAACTCGTGAAGACAAGTTATTTAGGGAGGGTGGAATAGACTCATTAATACCTAATTCTGACTGCTGTAAATGTATATTCTCATTCATTTTTATTTCATGTGTAACATTTTTATTTATATTTATTCACTTTCTTTTTATCAGGTACAAAGAATTTTACGGGAAAGATTTTGTCATAAGAGCCCACATAGTAACTTATTTGGAGTACAAGTACAATACAAGTAAGTTTAGCTATCCTTTTGTCCACTATGAACTTACTTAAAGATGCTGTTAGGTTTTGTAAAATTATCCACACAAGTTTTATCTTGAATAAGGCTAACAAACGTTTTTATAGAGATAAAAAAATTATTCTTCTTTTATAGAAACAATAAAAATTTAAAGGAAGAGCAGATATAACTGTTGTCATAATGAGAATGTGCCTTACCTTTCAATCTTATGTTGCTTCTGTCATCTGGTATATGGAGAAAATTCTGAGCTCTGATACTCCACAGCATGTTGTGGAATGAAAGCTCCCAAGATTTGCCGCTGTTGTCCCTTGCCTCATGACATCATAAAGCCAAGACATTTCAAACTTACTTGGTTTTCTCTTGAGGTTTCCAGAGAATCCATATTGACCTACCCTCTCTTCTGTGGTTTTCTGTATACAACTACATAAAGTGTAAGTCAAGTGCCCAGAGAGAAAGAAAAAGGGAATGCCTATTTTCTATGCATATTCAAATTCAGCTTTTAAATAGTATTACCTAGCATATTATTCCAGCTTCCTTTTTATTTTTTATTTTTTTTTTTAAGATTTTATTTATTTATTTGACAGAGATCATAAGTAGGCAGAGAGGCAGGCAGAGAGAGAGGAAGGGAAGCAGGCTCCCTGCTGAGCAGAGAGCCCGACGTGGGGCTCAATTCCAGGACCCTGGGATCATGACCTGAGCCGAAGGCAGAGGCTTTAACCCACCCAGGCACCCCTCCAGCTTCCTTTTTAAATTTTGGCTTATTTATGTCATTCCAGACACTTAATTGAGCTGCTAAAAAGAACTGCTATCCATGGAGAAAGTAATTCTGTACTCATTATTGGACCCCGAGGATCAGGAAAAACCATGGTAAAACTTGATTTCTGGTATTTTCTTGTTTGTGTAGGATGTGATGATTCTTATAGACAGTATTGAAAATACTTTGTATTCATTATCTCATTAATTTCCCTTTTTTCATTTTCTTTAAATCATAGAAGACGTGCAAAGCCTTAAAAATTAGGGTGGTATATTTGAGTTGAGCATATCGTTTTTCACCACAGTAGCAAATTTTCAGTTGCTGCTTTTCCATCATGGCCTTTTGCCCATGAGGAATTTATGCATTATTAGCATTTATTGAGCATATTCCTTGTGCCTTTTCTCTGTGTTCTTGCACCTTACCTTGATCTTTTTATCTGTATTATCATTGCTTCTTTACACTAATGCTGCAAGGTAGACATTTTTTCTGTTTATAAATTAGGTAACTTGTCATGACATGCATTCTTTTTTCCCCTATTTTATTGTTTATTGTTTAACCCTAACTCAAGTAATTTTCATATATACAGTCACATCTTCTAGAATTCTTTTCTACTTTCCCTCTTTATTTTCTTAGCTACCTCAAAAAGATACTCTTGATTTTTCTCCTCATTTTCTCTTTTCACATTCTTTATTCAATATATGAGATAAATTATGACTGTTACATTGAATATATTTACTATTAATTTTCAGTAGTTGGGCTGTATAAAAGCTCTTTTCTGCTATATTCCATGCAATGAATTTAGATTTCTCACTAACATGCTTTTTTTTATTACGTGTAGAAGTAAAATTATATACTAAGTAAAGTTATATAAATTAGAAGTAAGATTGTTTTTAAAGCAATGAATGTTGACTATATATTAGGTAAGGTGTGGAAATAAGGACTTTACAGTTTTATTCAATCACCCATTTCTAATGGGGATATAAATCTAAGTAATTTCTTTTTTAATCTTTAAAGAATATTTTACATTAATTGTATTATTTACAATAATTTTTTAGTTTTGGCTATATTTAATTTGATTCAGTCTTATGCTCAGTCATTTTATGCAACCACTATTTCTCTCTTTGAAAAAAAAAAAAGATTTTAGAGAGAGGGAGAGAGGGAACACAAGTAGGGGGAATGGGAGAGGGAGAAGCAGACTTCCTACTGAGCAGGGAGCCCCATGTGGGGCTTGATCCCAGGACCCTGGGGTCATGACCTGAGCTGAAGGAAGATGCTTAATGACTAAGCCACCCAGGCACCCATATTTCTTTATTCTTGAGTTCCTTAGTATGATTTTCTTTTGTGTTTGACCTCAATACTGTTCAGATGGTTTTGAAAGGAAAACCATGTGACTGGTATGCCTTTGAGCTATTAGAATATTTTAAATTTCTAACAATAATACTATTAAATAGTAGAAACACTATGCAAAGGAGATGCACAGAAAGGTCACATAAAATTAAATACAGATCTGTCTTGAACTTAAAACTTGTTCAGTTTTACTTATAATTAAGTAAATTAACTAAAAACATTAACAGTTTTGTCTACCAGGTTGACAAACCTGTAAAACTCATAACACTAAAATTGTGAACTTATAAAGAAATAGACATGTGTCCTGCTGGTAATATAAATTGACATAACTGGAATAAGAGACAGTATCTAACTAGGCCAAAGTCATATGCCCTTTGACTCAGCAGCAGTATTTCTAGGAATTTAACTTGTGAAATGATGTATATACAGTTACTCACTACAACACCATTTGTTAATAGTGGAAGATGAGAAACAACATAAATGCCCATCAGTAGAGTACTGGTTAATAAATGCTAGTACATTCATCCACATAATTATTATGCATCAGTGAAAAGAAACATTTGTCTGTAGTCCAGAAAAGGAAGAGGAAAAAAATACTTGTGTTGGTTTGTACTGGCATACTTCATTTTGCTTTGCTTTGTTGCGCTTTGCAGATAATTGCATTTTTTACAAATTAAAAGGCTTTTGGCAACCCTTTATCGAGCAAGTATGCAGGCATCATTTTTCTAACAGCATTTCTCATTTTGTCTCTATGTCACATTTTGATAATTCTCAAAATATTTCAAACATTTTCATTATTATATTTGTCATGGTGATCTGTGATCAGTGATCTTTAATGTTACTGCTGTAATTGTTTTGGGGTGCCAGGAGCCATGCCTGTATAAGATGACAAACTTAATGGATAAATGTATTGGTTCTGACTGTTCCACTCTCTGGCCACTCCCCCATCTCCCACCCCCCCTGCCCCGGGCCTACCTATTCCCTGAATTACAACAGTACTGACTTTAGACCTATTAATAACTCTATAATGGCTCCTAGGTGTTCAAGCGAAAGGAAAATTCACACATCTCTCACTTTAAATCAAAAGCTAGAAATGATTGAGTTTAGTGAGGAAGACAGGTCAAAAGCCAAGGCAAGCCAAAAGCTGGGCCTCTAACACCAAGCAGCCAACCTGTGAGTGTAGAGGAAAAGTCCTTGAAGGAAATTCAAAGTGCTATTCCAGTGAATCCACCAATAAGAAAATGAAACAGCCTTACTGCTGATATGGAGAAAGTTTTAGTAGCCTACACATTCTCTTATACCAAAGCCTAATCCAGAGGAAGGCCCTAATTCTGTTGAATTCTGTGAAGGCTGAGAGGGGAGGAAGCTACAGAAGAAAAATTTGAAGCTATCAGTAGTTGGTTCATGAGGTTTAAGGAAAGTAGCCACCTCCAAAACATAAAAGTACAGGGTGAAGCAGCAAGTGTTGATGTAGGAAAAGGCAACATGATGAATCATGGACACATACTCTTTTTAGAGTTCCTACTCAGAGATGATAACAGAGCACCTCTCCTCACAATTCACTGGCCAAGTGTCATATGGTTATACCTAGTTTCAAGAGAGTGAAGAAGTACATTCCGCCTAGGTGACTAGAAGAGAAGTTAACCAGAAATATTTAGTGAATATCACTGATAGCCATGACAGCTAACTTGTTTTGAGTTTGTGTGTGTGTGTGTGTGTGTGTGTGTGTGTGTGTGTGATTTTTTTCCCTGTCTAGACACTTACAGAATTTCTTTATCTTAGCAGTATGAAAATTTCAGACCAGTATCTTAGCTTGGATCATAAAAACTGATACTCTGTAAACTCCCTTAATATAAATTTAGATCTTTTTTCACTATAGGATAATTTTTTTTCAGTCTTCGTTGTTTTATTATCTTTGGAAAATACATCTTCATACAAATATTTGAAAAACACTTTTAAGTAGTACTTTAATTCTTCAAGAAGCTCATAGTGATAATCTGAGAAAATGAGATCTAGGAAAACAGTACATTTAGACCTACTATTCCATCCTAAACTATGCCTCTTGAAACAAAGTGGCATTACGACAGAGAAGTTGGCTCTCAATGAAGTGTACATCAAAGTGTCAATCCTGCAAATATAACTTGAGCAGTTAATGCCTGGATTTATTCTGAACTTCATCGTGGAAGTTTGTACGTAAAAGCATGAAAGAAGGCTCAGAAAAAAAAGGAAATAGAGTTAGTAAGCACTTATAAAGATGTTTAAATACAAATTAAAATTATACTCCATTTCATTAGTAAATTGGCTAAAGTAGATCTATTTTTTACCAGGAAAATTAAGCATAAAAGAGAGTTCCCCTATTATAACCACCCCCCATGCACATACATACAACTTCCCCTATTATTAACATCTTCCCTTAGTATGGTACATTTGTTGAAATTGATGAACCAATATTAGTATGTTATTATTAACTAAAGTCCCATAGTTTTCATTAAGGTCCCCAGTTTTTTCATTTAAAAAAAAGCTCAGTTTATCTGCTATTTCTTTCATGAATTGTGACTTTGGTGTTATATCTAAACTTCATCATTGGGATGCCTGGGTGGCTCAGTTGGTTAAGCATCTGCCTTCCTCTCATGATCCTAGGGGTCCTGGGATCAAGCCCCATATCTGGCTTCTTGCTCAGTGGGGAGCCTGCTTCTCCCTCTGCCTGCAGCTTCCCCTAATTGTGCTCTTTCTCTCACTCTCTCATACTCTCTCTCCAAAAAAGAAAATCTTAAAAATAAATAAACTTCAACACCAAATCCAAGATCTTCTAGGTTTTCACCTATGTTTCCTTCCAGAAGTTTTATAGTTCTTTGTATTTTACATTTGGTTTGAGTTAATTTCTTTGAAATATAGGGTCTGTGTCTAGATTCTTTTTCTTTACTTCTTTTTTTTGCATATGAATGTTTAAATTGTTTTAGCATTTGTTGACACGGCTATCTTTTCTTCATAGAGTTACCTTTACTTCTTTTTCAAAGGTCAGTTAATTCTGTTTGTATCAGTCTATTTTTACCATCTTGATGACTGTAGCTTTATAGTAAGCCTTAAAGTCCGTGTCAGTCTTCTAACTTTGTGTGCTTCCTCAGTATTGTTTTGGCTATTCTGGGTACTTTGCCTTTTTATACTAACTTTAGAATTAATATGTTAATTTCCAACTACTGGGGATGTTTGAGTTCAGTTGTAGTTTCAATCTGTAGATCACATTAGAAAAACTGGTTTCTTAATTATATTGAGTTTTCACTTTCATGAACATGGAATATCTTTCCATTTACCTTTTTTAGGTCTTTCATTAGAGCTTTGTGGTTTTCCTTATATAAGGCACATACTTCGTTAGGTTTATACCTAATTTTTTAAAAATATTTTTGACCCTAATGTGAATAGTATACGTTTTTAATTTCAGATTCCTAGTGTTACTGCTGATACAGAGGAAAGCAGATGACCTTTGTGTGTTATCTTGTATCCTGCAATCTTGCTATAATTGATTGGTTCTTAAAATTTGTCAGTTCTTTGGGATTTTCTGCAGACAATCATGTCATCTGCAAATAGAAGAAAGTTTTATTTCTTCCATTCCTGTTTCTTTTTATAACTTTTATTTCCTTCTCTTGTCTTACTGCATTTGTTATTCACAGGCTATGAGCATTAGCTGATATTCTACAAACTCTTAATATGAATTTAGGTCTGTTTTCACTAAAGACTAATTTTATTTTTGAGTATTTCCTTTCTTTCA